CACAAACCGCGAGGTGGACAGCACATGACCTGGCAAAAAGGCATGAAAGAGATCACGAAGAGTTTGGGTGTTGATGTTGTGAGACTTCCAGGATGGGGTCCCCGTGACCCCGCCTGTGCTTGACTGGAGACGTTGCAAGAAATGGCGGCTAATCGATGTCAGTGGCATTCGTGCTGTCAGTTTCTTTCCAGATTGTCTGATTGAGCGGCTGGAGGCGTAGGCACCTCAGTATGCTTGACATAGGCCAGCACTAGGTCCCCTCCCCCACCCACTCTTTCTCTCTTCTGTTCACTGTAGGATGGAAAGAAGTTAGATACCGTGGCGTGATGATAGGTTGGTGATGACTTGGCAGCGAAGTATGGAAGCCATTACAAGCGAACTCAGCTGTGGTGGTCACTGCCGTCTTCCTGGATGGGGAACCCGAGACGGGCCACAGCAATGGCTAGAGACATTGTCACACATGGCCCAGTCGCGCCCTCAACGGCGCTCATGCATCCAAGTTAAGCTCCTTTTACAGCCTCACCCCATTTGACAGCCCACTGACAGTGCTGGATTTATGTACCAATTTATTATCTCCCGCCTGTAATGCGCAGCTACCTAACCCCCCCCCCTCCCCCGCAAATCATCGGTGAACGAAACTGCGGCAGCTACAACCACTGTACGACGAGTACGCGGTTATTATAGATGACAATGATGATGCGTGATGATGGGATTAGTCTAAACTGCAGTGAAAATTCATGCCAACCCAAACATGTATCCAATCAAGTCAGGGACACTGATGCGGAATCCCCAAACCTCTTCTAAGTAAGGAGTAGTCTTCAAACTCTCCGAAACGCACTGAAATCTCTCCACAACTCACAAGGGTTTCCGCGTGACCCCTTGAAATAACGAGGTATGGACACTTGGCCTCTCTCTCACTAGTGTGCGTTATACAACCCTGCTAAACAAGGCGACATTAGTCTTTGAGTTTTCTGAATGTGGAATGCTGTTGAAAAAAGTTGTACTTCCTGTTAACCCTTAGCTGTATCGTTTCATGTCCGTCTGTCGGGTCATTAGGCAATCACTGATGTGTTTTGAATGCTTCTTTAGTTTTGTTGCCTTTCGAATGCTACTCCATCTGCCTTGTATACCCCATTTCATGAAGTGCTCATTCGACCGTTTCTCGCTGATTTACTGAGTCAAAACTGTGAGCGACCCTTGCAGAAGAATCCTCAAAGACTATAATGTTAGTACATATGACGACAAGAGACAAGATATAGTGACGATGAGCAACACATCACAATATAAGGTACGCTGGAAGATCGAACCGCATTGAAAAACAGTCAACATGAGGTTAGGCGAATTGTGGCATCGGTGTCACTGCTCGTGGTACGCAGTTCTTGTAGAAGCAGCCTTTAGTCAGGATCTTTTGATGAGGTAGTCAAGTTGATCAACAGTCACAAACTGAGCTGCTGATAGATGATAAAGGCAGAGGGTACATGCGAAAGTTCACTGCACTCGGGATTTCGTTTGAATGGCATGATAGATAGTTTTTCCGAAGTCCAGGTAAACAAAGAGGGACACTATAGCGTTTGCGGGCGTTGCATGCCATAAGGAAACTTCCACTTTGTCATTGGGGACTGAATAAATCGGTCCATAAGTCAACGTCACGCCCGAGCAGTTAACATACATGGGATAGTGGATGGCCTGATCGTCAAAACTTGTACTATGGCTGTTTCGGTAATTTATTCTTCATCGTTCAACAAGCATCTTCATATCTATTGTAAATAACCTGGAACCTACTGAGAAGTCATCGTTTAAAAACTACCGATTGTTTACCGAGCGGTTTGTTTTACCATTGTTAAATCCATGGATCGGTTAAGGCTCGCAATTTGTCTGAGACGTAATTGCAACGGTTAGTTCATCTTACTAGAACTGCTTTCATCAGTTAGTTTATCTTTGATCCTGCTACCTCGTTGCTATTTTAGTAATTTCATGCTCGCCAAAATCTCTCGGTTTTAACGGTCAATTCGTACAGTGTGTGTAACAGAAGACCTGATGAGTAAGATTCACGGATGCATTTATTTTTCGGTAGGGATTACTGTTTCATGTAAGGGGCTGGAAACTGATTAGAGCAACTGACAACCATATCAAGTGCATTCAGAGGTATCTAGGTGTCGGGTCACTGCTTACGATCGTGCTGCGTTGTGTTCGGTCCCCAGCTGACAGCTTGGTACAACCTTGTACCGCTCCATACAGATAAAGAGCGCACTCTTGGACAGCGCAGGGCAGACAGCTCCCTCGGTTTCGTGTTGCCTATGGGTGTGTTCTTAGTAACCTTGGTAGGTCGCTTCGGTTCATGCAATGTGCGAAAACAGCCTAACCTAACCTCCTGATGAGTTCATTAACGCTCTATAAACTTCCTAATTTAAACAATGCTTAGTATGGACGGTAAATGTGAGGTTCGAATGCTGTACTATTATCTGTTATTATTCAACCAAGTGTGCAACTGCATTTGGGTTTAGTTGGACCGATTCTCGTCACGTCGACGATTTTTTCCTTCCTCGGACAATCCGGTTACGCTGTTCAACAGTATTTTTACGGATAATATTAATTAGTTCGCTGACTAGTGAAAAAAATGACCCCAAGAGGCATCTCAATTGGGATCTCTTGAATTTCCGGCGCCAAGACCCCTTACCCAGGACTATAATCGTGCATTTTATTTGTTTGGCACCCTACAATAAATTTGCCAGAAGAGCATGACGACAGCCATATCACTCGGGTTCGTGCAAAGTACCACCAATGCTCAGTTAAACGCCTTCATAAAGTTTAGGTATAAGTAAGTTATGTTAATAACGCGGGACAGTACAAGGCAGTTTGGGGCATATAGTAGCCCTCAGACGAAAGTTCAGCTTCCGCAGTAAGATTAAAGAAGACTAACTTACTTAACGTTCAGTTGCAACACTCTTCCGGTGCCTAGCTGCCATGCTACCTGAAGGAAGCACGAGGGCTGGGATACCAAGTTGCCCAAGCCTAGACAGGGGAAGTCGAGAGGCAGAGGTCGGGTTCGAACGACGGACCTTCCGATCAGTAAATTCGTACTCTAACCACTTGAGCTATCCTAAGCTTTCCACAAAAAGGATATCCAGCCACGCGTGTTTGGCAGTCCTATTGCTATGGAACTGACAAACTGACAGCAAATAGGGAGGTTTTAACAGAATGAACTTTAGGCCAAGAAAATTCAGCTGCCGTCGCCAGTCTGCCAAAATGCAAAAAAAACAACAATTAGTCATCTACGCAGGCACTCAGCCTTCCAGCATAAAGTCTCACCCAAACGGGTTTGAACTAACGAACACCGCGTGACTATGAACACACAATCTAGCTCGAATTACCGTAGCAAGGCATGTCCTAACAAACACAGATGATACTCCCAGAGTGATCAAATAGTCTGAACAAATCGGACTGGTCGCACTTAAACACTCCATGAAAAACCACAAGTTCAAACGTGTAGAAAGTGTGGACAAACCTCTTCGATTCTACAATAGATACGGAAAATGGAATTTGAACAACACTGATGATTACCCAACCATAAATTCATGAAAATAAAAAGTACCGAGGTCCGATTCATTTGCTCGCAAATAGCTAGAAGTGACACCCTTCAAAGTCTACGGAACAGCTGAGTGAAATATGTACAGAGAGAACGAAGCTATACAGAAGTGGTTAAGCATTACAAGGCCCAGCAAAGTTAGCTACGCCCCGATTCAGCCCGCTTTATCGAATCACCGGAGTCAACCACAGTGCCGGTTGTTCGAATCGGTCGTGGCGCTTTGGGATTGTAAGCATACGTGCGTGGAGCTGCAGCTTTACCTGCCCGTTGCCATGAGTCGGCGTCCAAACGTTCGCGAGCTTCTAATTCGGCCAGGAGTTTCGAGTTAGTCATCGCTGGAAGGAACAGGGAAAGGGAGATTACAACACAGGTCAGTGGTTCTCAACCGGGAAGGGCATTCCCTCGGAAGATGGAAGAGTTTATTAGAGAAATAAAAAAAAGCTGGAGGTCTAAAAAAACTGGGATACTGCGAGTTGGACTTATTTGTTATTCGACGCCCAACCTTACTGCAATTCTACTCTTTCCGAGCATTGACTACTGAAGCCACTGATGAATGGTGTGTGGTAAAGAAGTTTTCGTTCCATCGCTTTCAGATTTGTCAGTCAGGAGGCATGACCCCCTGTCCTTGATATCCACACACAAATTCAGTCTAGAAAACGCGAAACTTTCGGCATACGGAGACATGAGACGCGGAAGGGAATTTCCGGAAGCACGGCTGATTCAATCAACCGATCAACAAGAAAACAAGGAACTCCTTGGAGTCAAATCAAATTTCTTTCAGTTTAAGTTCCTGGTTTATGAACTGGCAGCTCAGTGATAACTGAATATCCAGCTGACTTGAGTTTTTTAGGTGGTCCAGAGACTATGACGTTTCTATTTGATTAAATCACCCTGGAGATATGAGCAATATACGCCACGATGACTCCTGACAATGGTGGAACAGTTGTACAGTACTGCCCTGCATTTCAGTACACCATGACTTGACCTGCAGGATGAAACCTTAACAGAGGTATAGGTTTGAAAGCGCATTTTTTTCGTAATGTGGTTCCCAAAGTATGTCTCTTCGGGCAGATTGGTCAGCTAAGAGCATCCAGTTTTCACATGAATCTAGTGTTCAGAAGAAATGTTTCAACTTCAAAACTCGAAACCGTGTCTATCATGGATATTCGGTTGACGGTGGAATGTTCAATTCAAACTCGGTGTGAGGAAAAGCCCACCTGGCTACATTATTATAGCGTGAATAAAAACTGGAAATAGAGTTGAAGAATGAGAGCGCCTTTTCAGAAGTTCAGTTGTCGAGATTACACGTACTATGCGGTGTGAATTCGTCCATTTTTGAGCCCATGTAAGAAGTCGCCAAGCGAACCAAAGCAGTTGTAAACGCTTTCAAAAACTTGTTAACTATCACCGCGCGCCATCTCGAACAATTAAGCACTATACAGGCACTTCAAACTAGTCACGAATTCGAGGTAACTGAATCAGGGGTACGTACTGTAGTCGACAAACCCAGCCTATTTAAACTCACTTTCTCTGAAACCCTCAATAAATCCACGCTTGCTGTGCAAAGCCTCCGGCATGGCTGACACCTTTGGAAGTTTGAGGGCATCACGAATGACCGGGATTCGTAAGACAAATGCCTGCACCAGTGACATGAAGTTGCTTACAGTCCAGTACCACAGTATAGCCTAAAACGAAAAAACAGTGTTATCTTAGGAAGATCATCTGTTAGTGAGAAGAGTGATAGGAGGATATCATTTCGCTAGAAGGCAGAAGGGAGAAGTACTGAAGAATGTGCCCTGACTAGTCTTCAAAAGAAGTCGCAAGCCAGGGAGGAACTCCATGACATTTTAGATTAGCCTGAGGGAAATCAAACGGCGAGGACCTAGTAACTAGATCGATCGTTCAGCTGCAGCACCCTTTGGAGCCTAGCTGCCACGCCAACGGAAGGTGGTACGAGGGCTTGGATACTTCCACGTTGTCCAAGCCTAAACACAATGAGTCAATATTCTGAGGTTGGGTTCGAACCAAGGACCTCCCGGCCCTCAAGCTGGAGCCTTAACCACTGAGTTATCTCGAGCTCTCTAGTAACTAGAGATGAATTTAAAACACGTTTCTTCAAGAAAATGTAGGATAAGAGATATTCCTGCGCAATGAACTAATAACAAACCATGCTGGACCATCTGAAACCCAAGACTGGGTGGACCGATTTCGACCACGACTTACGAAATACAGGAACAAGTCCACCTACTTCCTTAAAACGGGCTGTAGATTTTGATGAAGAACCGATCATTCTCAAAAAGATCAACCGCCCGAGAGCTCAGCGAATTCATGATGTGTGATTGTAGTATCAACTGCGATGAACTCACTCTACAGATATAGACCCCGACTATGAAGTGCACTTTCGGTGACTAGTAGCAAGAGTGACCCGCTGACTGATTTTTGGGTTTTAGGCTAACAATTACTGCCTACTAATAAGTAATAAAGTTTCTTTACGACCCACACAAATATCCTTCAAAGCTGGTCGTAGTAGTTATTTGGGGGGTGGAGTTTGCGGCCTGCTACCTACAAATCGGGCATGAGCCAGATAGGAGGATAGCTCAAGTCGATTTTCCCTCAAGATATTTTTGCTTCGCTTCATTTCTTCACGCTCCAAGATGTTCTCATTTCGAGATCTGCTCCGCGAAACTCAGAAGCATAACGGGGGCGTGAATTCTGGTCAACAGTAACTAAAAGTACCTTGCGTCCATCCAACCTCGCACTGGACTAGGAAAATTCGAAGGTTTAAACCTCAGATATGCAACCAACCCATCCGACTTGTCAGTGTCCGGAAATGAATAGCAATATCACATCAAGTCCACGGGTCAAAACTACGAGGCGCTTCCAAAACACCTCAATCTGACCAAAGAACTGGGCGCCTGGATATGAGCTGCTTGAGACTGACTCCTATTCCAAATGGTTTGCCAACAGCCAATAGTAGCACTTTCACTAGGCACAATTTACAGAAATATTTCAGTTGGAAAAGAAGCTCTCGTGACGGAAAATGGGGCCGGCCACAATTGCAGTGAGATCAAATCGGATACCCCAACTTACAAACGGCTCTGTATCATTTCTGTTCCAACGGAAGCGATTTTTTCAATAAACCTGATGGGTTAGAAAGGCGTGTTGATCGTCTTGTGCTACTCATGCTACTAACAAAGACTGTTGCACATTGCTTGGAGAGGGTCATCCTCAAGCCTTAATACGTCGTCTAAACTCAATCCACATGTGCTACCCACATGGAAACGAGTTGAGGTCAGCCAATCGGATGGTCACGCATAAACTTTGCAAACATCGCAGACTTGTGCGATCGTATAGACCCTGTTACCACCAGGACAAAAGGACACATCACCTGAACCATTGCAACAGACTGCTGTGGATACTTAACTATTGTTGCAGTTCCTGTCCCACGGTCCGTACGCCTAGCTGCAAACAACTCGGAAGCTACTCATGTCAGTGCGTACGAAATTCCCCCAAAGGGATAATTGCTAACGCCAAATAATCTCACGTTATACGATTCAAATTCGGCTGGAATAATCCTAGTTTTCGTGTGGTTTACAATGGCTAGTCACAAGATAGATCGGTCCGCTGTGGCACCCTTTCGATACAGGGTAATCGTACAACCCGAAGGAAACAAGTGGGCTGACACATTGTCAAGTTGCCGAAATCCAAACAGGAGCAACACAAGAGACGAGGTTGGGTTAGAACCACGGACTTTCCAGTTGACAGCATCTTAATTGATAAGCTGATGCCAAACAGCGAGACCTTAGTCCATCATTCGGAGTGGAAGAAACCTTACAGGGAGGAAGGAAGCCGTGGAATCTGTGTAAGGGGAATGTCCTCAAAAGATATGGGTTCCCGTGCGAGATTCTGGTAAGGAATGTGTTTCAGACGCTACTAAAGAGTGGCCTCTTTTCGAATGCTCAACATTCTTGGTTCATTGGAATGTTCACTCCCTCAGAATCGCGAATCGAGGTCCTAAGCGAACCCGAAAGAAGGGCTGAAATAACGTAAGGCTGCCCAAGCTCAGACAGGAGCAGCCGAAACGCTCAGGTTGGGTTCATACCAGGGTCAAGAAGTTCGCGCCTTACACAATGAGCTACCTCGAACTGCATGTGGACGGTAGCCCTACCGCTAGATGTATGAAATGAACACAGTGGAAAAATGGAGTTCCCAATCTGCAAGCAGCTTCATCTACTCACCGAAGGCATGTTCATGACCATCAGAAATCCGAAGACGGGGAAGATTCGCAAGGCTGTCTTCATAAAAGGTGTCATACCCTTGGTAGATATGTCCGTACCGGTCTATGAAACGTAAACATTTCGAATTAAAACCGGGAACATGCAAAGTCAAGCAAGTCAGGTCGTACATACAACCATGACAACCCTAGAATAGATAGTTCAACAGAACCAACAGTGGATAGGAAAATCTGAGGAAGAGCAGTGGCAAGAATTCATTGCTTGCTTGTTGAAAACCAATGTCTGAAAAGGCGTTGAAAGCAGAGAATAGACTATCTGGTTAGCTTCTCCTTCCATCAGCTATGCTGGAGGTTTTGGAGCATTTGAACTACCGGATGTCTATGCGTGGTCCGCAAAGAACAAACGGTTCACTTGAAGCAGGGTTTAGGCGAGTCGATCATGTTAACAGGCACAGGAAAAGAAACAAACTGTCCTAAGCATAACATTCGTCGAAATGACCCATCAGTGTGTTCAACACTTGTGTTCTACGTTGGTTACTCAAGTTACATTATACATCACTATACAATAGCAATAAACAGCAATGCACAACGATACGTTGTGCCTAAAATGAAACGAAAAGTCTGAACTCTACTGGGAGACTGATTCGACGGGAGTTTTTCCTTTAAAAGCATACTCATACCTTCCAGTAGGACGTACCGGGTATAAGACCATGTTTTGATGTCTCACAGTCGGCTAATCCTTGACTATCCACTAAATACCCGCAGATGGCCTGTTGCACGTCTTTACCTGGTGTTCGGTAATCACGTAATACGATACATCGTATCGACAGGACGTCGACACTAGTCCTCACAATGAGCTAATCCCTGAATAATATTTCGCCACAGGTTAGCACCCAAAACAAAACTGGAGTGGGTCACACATTTTCAAAGAAACGTACAACGGTCTATTTAACCGGACTAAATGTGGCCTCTAACAATACGTCGAATAATGATGGAAGTAGAGTGCTTGTGGAGAGAGAGACACATAGGTACTTTTGGTTTTCAAAGAATAATGACTTCCAAAAGTTTGAAGATATAATTCCTTAGATGCCACACAGAAAATGGACGAACACACGATCCAATTCACACAAACTAGTGAGGCAGGCACAATAACTGTTCACTGAAGGCAAACTACAGTCCCCGATGTATACGAATGGAGGCAAAATATCACACCGTATGATAGCAGCCTTGTTGAGAAAAAGGGAGAAAACACTTCAGGGAACACATTGAGACACGCTCCAAACTAGTCTATCCATCACCTGTGCGACAACTGCACACACTAATCAGTCGTTGGGGCTTATAACCTCGCGACATCTGATCAACCACCAAAGGAAGACACTAGTCCACTCAATAAATGAGGCACTCATCACCGACAGGCGTAGAAAAAAACGACAAAAGTTTATAGTGCACTACTCATAAGATTGCTGAAAATTCGTCGACATTCAGTTGCCTGGAAACACCACAAACGAGAGATTCGGCTGGGTTCCAGGTGAGTGTCTCAAAAAACCAAATTAGTTTGCAAATGAGTGTATATTCGTCAACGACAGAAGTTACTCATTAGAAATCAGTCACGACCCCACTAAAGTGGTTTTTGGCGAAAGAAAAGGTAGGTCGGTGACTAAACGACTAGCGTGATCAATGAAGCCTCGCTATCTCCCTTTTAGTGGAAAGCTGGCTTTCCCTGAAAATCTACTGAGGCAATTTTGCGTTAGTGTTTGCAAATTTAAGCGGCTTTTACGTGAGACTCTAACAAATCCCCTTTTACAATAGTCGAATGTGTTGCGCAAAAACCGTCACAGGATTAATGTGGCGCACAAAACAGGGCATCTTATCAAAAACGAATTCTTTGACTTCTTGACTAGCTGTCCAAATGAATACTAAAGCGGTCTTTAACAGATTTGGCCGTAGAATAGATTAGGCGATAAATTCTCTTGATGTGCACGTTAACACAGCTTCAAGATGCAAACGAGTGTTTAATATCACATGTGCTAAAGAATGAAATACTATTGAAGACAAATCAGGTACTACGCCTAACTGATGGGTCTCAAACAAGACAGCAGTGTACTGTCGACAAGCTTTCATCAGCCTTATAAGTGTCGCAAGTTAAGGAAAACGCAGATAGCTGTTTAACAAGCAATTAGAAAACACTTAATTAATCGGTGGTAGTGTGGGGGGATTTGGGTAGTTTCAGTGGAGATTTCGTGCAGAAAGTGAAGCCGATCTATGCTGAAAAGCCCAGAATCACCGTTCGTTGCTTATTGGAAATCATCAGGACGGTTCAGAACTCCCTGGGATGCGTACTGTTTACGATTCTCGCTAAGGACGAAACAGCTGTACACAGCTTTTTAGTACAGCTTCGTATCACTTACAGAAATTTCCAATGAACTTGACAAAATGAGTAACCAATAGTAAGAAATAAACTTCCCTAGTGTTCAGCTGAAGCTGCAGCACCCTTTCGGTGTCTAAATACCATGCCACCCGAAGGTTGCACAAGGTTGCCCAAGCCTGGACAGGGGAAGTCGAGAAGCAGAGGTCGGGTTCGAACCATGGACCTTTCGGTCGGCAAATTCGTGCTCTAACCACTTAGGCCAGCTCGTCCCTCGTAAGAATAGATTATGAATAAAAGCGACCGATTTGTATATTACAGGCCCAAGGACCATCGATCATTCAGTCTTAATTCGTACTCATGTTACAGTGCGACATATTCGTCAATAAGCGAGATGGACCAAGTGGTTAGAGCGCGAATTTAATGATTGCAAGGCCCGTGGTTCGAACCCGACCCCTGTCACTCGACTTCCCCTATCTAGACTTGAGCGACCTGGCAGTATCCCAGTCCTCGTGCCTCCTTCCTGTGGCATGGCAGCTAGACACCGAAAGGGTGCTACAGCTGGACGGTTTTTTTAAAAGACTTAACACATCGTAAATCCTGTCCCGGCCATGAAGACGTAACAGGATTAAAGCCGTCATCTTCCTTACAACTTATGCGGCAGCCTTGCGCAGAGAACATGTCACAAATTGGAATTTTTTTATCACAAGTTTCGGATATCCCTCAATTTCCGCATCTTATCCGCTTAGAATGCTATATGTGAAGACTTCCCCCCTTTTTGTACCCCTATCCTGGTTCGCCCATGGTAAATGGGGATGGACAGGATAGGAAGGTTGTTCAAAGGTGATCGATATGAATACAAGTTCCACGAATCCTGCAACTATCTACAGTGTTTACCGGAGGTGTGCAACAGAGCATTCATAGTCAACCAGTAGGTGCCACAATTATTGAAACCGCTAAAAGCGCGGGAAACTATTCAAGTATGTCTAATAAAATCTCGATTCAATCCTATTAGACTCACCTCGAACATGAGAATGATTGAAGCCATGCTCATGAATGGAAGAAGGCAGTATGGATCGGGAACCGTGAGATCCGTAAACCAGCTCAAACCACCTGTTTTCATGCTTGGTACCGGGAGCGAGGCCATTCCACGAATGCCGGCGAAGACCGATAAAAATATGGGTATCTGAGAGAGAGAAAAATCAATACCGCAGTTGACTTTTTGTAAACGATCCCAAATTCGTTATGCAGAACGGTGGTTCCCAAATAAGGGTAGTCTGCGGGACTTTATTGGAGTCATTTATCCTGGAAGAGAGGTAACTACCAAAGAGGATCTACGAAGTCACGAACCTCCATTCAATTAACTGTTTTTTTTTCAAGGAAACCCTCTGTCCGGAGATGACGCTACTTATAAAGATGATTACCTTTCGGAAACCAAGATAAACAGAACAAACATTGCCGCATTGGACGAATGCAACTTGACGAAGCTATCAATGCATGCTCGAGCACGATTAAGCGGGATTCTCCGGCGATATGCTTATAGTCACCCGCGTCGTTCTCGTTGGAAACTTGGCTATGGGTTAGTTTACTCGACTGGCGTAGTTATGGTCTCGAAATGATCAACCAACTTTCAGCAGAAGCTTCAGTCTCCAATACGACACATAGGTCATGGAATCCCCTTTTGTATGGTAAGTTTGATTGCAAACATCCACAATCAGTGTTAGAAATACGCAACGACGACGGGGACTAGGAGTACTGAGCTTCGCGCTTGAACATCCTGACATGAACAAAGAGGAATCAACAGTCAGGCCAACCAGCATCCCACTTTCCTAATTTCTGGAGAAAAAGTGTTGACCTTTTCCGACCGATTTCAGGGTTTGATATTCTGCAAATCAATCAATTTTGGGCATGTACGCCCTAGGCCCCTTATGCACACCTTGATGGGTATGGTTGTTGTGGCGTGGTACAAAACCATTTGGCTCCGTATGTAGGGAAGCCGTCAAGCAGTCACATGTCAGACAAATGGAGAGCGAGAGTATGAGGTTGCCACCAAGATGCGATCTACATCTCAAGCACATCACGGACAACAACGCAAACGCTGGTGCAGATGTTTTAACACTGTACGACAGAACCTCATTTTATAAAAAATGGCAGTTGAGGAAATAGGATAAGAGAGGAAGAGACTAGCACTCGCCTTACTGTAAATATGAGGTTGGCAATTACCAAGCTTGGCGAACAGATATACATCCATTCATAAATGAATGGACCAGAACAACCAGTATTCCATCATTTTAAAGTTGCTTGTCATCCGTGTTTCGTTTGGAAAACCGGCTCGAAAGGTGAGGTGCAAAACCCATCTGCCTATTCAGCAGTGCTGAATCGGTCGTTAGGGAAGAATCAGCTGATTCACATTGATCCGGGTTGGAACTTTCAAGTTGTCCATAGGTCCTGATAGCCTATATTCATAAATGCCCGAAATAAAAAACACGGAGATACGTACACAGTCCGGCTGGAAAGGTGAGCAGTCGACCGAAAATTCAATGGACTTGTTTTCATTTAGTCCTGATCACGGGTTCCTTGTCAAGGTTTTTGGAGTAAATTAGGCAGATTAGTGGCAGCTGATCAACGGTCTTCCAGAAAAGGCGTCAGGTTTACAAAATATGAGCGTATCATTGACACGCTTCAAGATCAGGGCCTGGAGACCTCACAAGATCGACATCGCCTTGGAATTTCGGAAAACGGGTCAGAAAAATGACCCACACGAATGCTGTCCGTCTTCACCCACTTGCAACTGCACATCGGAGAATCAGTGACCAATCAATAGCTCGCATGACTGGAGCAGATCATTCTATTGAAAAATCTTATGTATAGTTCTTCCTGGCCATCTCATTAAGACACGCGCCATATGTTGACATTTCTTTTAATAAGTTCAGTCGCGGATGTAAAACGTGAGCAAGACACACAGTAAAGAGCAGAAACGCTGAACAGATACCGACTGGCATGTCACCCGACTAACGTCAGGTTGACCAAATTGTCTGCCAGAACAGCCTTCGTGCACACAGTTGGCGATCAGGTGATCTGGTCAACGGAGCCCCATATGTGGTGAAAACCCTGGAGTTTGCGTTGCGCAACAACATCCAAAATTATTCCACTGGGTCAGCCTGACAGGCTGTCGATGACGCAAGACTGTGAGTTGACCACTGACCTGGCATTTGTGGCCCTGATAGCATTTGGATCATATACGTCGGAGTGTAGTTCGCAGCACGCTTTGCTGGACATCTGTTTGCCATGTGATGCAGTTACGTAAGACAGTCAAGGTTCACGTTTTAGACGGACTGGGGTCGTTGTAATAATACCAGGATCAGAACTTAACGCTGTAGAGTATATATATATATTCTGAACAAGTCACCGTGTCACCGCGGTCACACTGAATCCATGCCTATATGTCATATTTGGCAAGAGAGAGCACAAATCCTTCAGTCGTTTCACTTTTAGGAGCCTTTCAAATCATCTACATGTCCACCCAGTGCGAATCAACACATTTGGATCCTTCTCCCGGCACTGTCGCATAGATGTTGCAGAACCTCCAGGAGCGAATGTGCATCGAAGTAATCCAAAATTGCAGGACAGGTTTCTTGATGGTTGGATCCGTCACACAAGTTTCTGCATTCAGTGCAATCCTTTCAGGTTAAGGCGTCTCGGTCACGATTGGAGTGTTCCGGACAAAAGATGCCTTAGCAGAGACCACGGAAGGCCACGACAGAAATGTGAAGCTAAAATGGCTAAATGAGGATGCAACCCGTGGCATAAAACATAACGTTATACTCAAACGTCTCGGGACACTTCAAAATTGGTGTCCAGACATCTTGGTAAAAGTGCCGGGGCGTCCTTTCATGCAAAATATGCGAATAAGCATGCCAACACAGCAGATACGATAGAACAAACTATTGAAAAAAAATTCGCTTGTTTCCTGATGCCGATGGAAAGATTTACCCGCGGCATACGGTGGGTTGACTTAGAAAAATGGCAGATGTTCCGGAGCTCAAAAGTATACCACATAGGAATGATGAAGGTGCTATTTTTATCAATTGTTGCATTCAATTGATTTAACTGTGTTGGAGACGTGATTTGTCCACCCGACAACAAACGACATACCGGGATCCGGGATGGCTTCGCTACACCCACATTCGTGGGATATCAGCAAATTCCATTCAATTGAGTTCAGAAAGAAAGTAACGAACACACTAAAAATAGTGGTGATCATATAGTCGCTACATATTTTAAAGACGTTACCATGGGGCAACGTAGGGGTTCAGTATAGTTTTTAAAGGTTACGACAATGCTTTGATCCTAAGTATTCCGTACAAGTGCCAGAAGATATTCGTGCTCTTCGGCATCACCGTGGGATGTATCGAGGGCTTCTACCTGTTTATGCCAAGAGCGATCAAACGAAATGGTATGCGAATGAGTGTCTCGCGAATTCTGCACAATTTGGGTTCATTTAGGACACAATAATGACGGAAACTCGGGGTCTGTGTCTGAATGACAAGCTCCAAGAAGAGTGAAACCGGCCGTGAGCTGCCGAAAATTTTTCAGCAACCCTGTGAGTAGTTTCTTCCAGGAAATGATCAGGGTGTTTGTCTTACATCCCGAAGAAATAAGGACCTTCCTCATTAAAGATACCACTATTTTCCGTTCGCCCCACTTTCGTCATGTCTCAGAAATTAGTAAAACCGAGCATTAGTTGGTACCACAATAGGTGTTATTTAGCTAAGGCGAGCAAGAACATTCGGTTGCGAGGTTTAACTACACTGATTTGCATCCTGTGTGTATTGATGGAAAAACCTTGAGGTATTAACCCTTGTGTCTATTGCAGCAAAGCGTAAGATGTTACTTGGAGCGTGGGTTCACCCATGGTTAGTCAAGTTTGCCTAGTCAACACTTCAGTGTCAGTGTCAGTGACAGCTCAGTTGCGTCAATCCAACTGTGACTCTGGACTTCAACAAATGACTGACAGAAGTGGGGTTTTTCCGCCTCTGAAAAATGGAAATAGTTACCTCATTCAAAAAGACAGTACGGGGAACCACTCAAATAATGTGAAACTGTTTAGCACGGCATGTGTAAAGGGGCTTATGGTAGCTTAGGTGGCTTGTTCACTGTGCTAGGTAATTTCATCATGAGCACGTAGAGCGATCAGCCTGATGGCACCAAGCAACGACCGATGTGGCATAATAGCATTTTCAGTTGTGAAGTTGATTGTTTTACTTTGGTTGGGATACTGTTAGAGGTGCCCACACCAGGAAGGCATTGGGTCTCTCAACTAACGCCTTTGGCAATGGAAACTGGGAAAGCCATGGTTGGGAATACCTGCACAATTAGAAGCTTCATTGACCTCAGGGGGTTGACATCTTTTGAACGCATCATTTCCTGCATCTCTTTCGACACCTTCATCACTGAAGAACAAAGGAAGGACAGATATTTTAGAGGCGAATATGGGGCGTTCTGCAGCTGGTGAGAAGTTTCAGTTTGGCAATGAAGAAAGAACTAAAAAATAATGGCGATCAACAAGTTGAAGAGAGAGTTTGAGACGCTATCAGTCTAAGGATACATAGAGGATGGCTAACGGCCATGTTGGAAAAAAACAATGAATACTATCAAATATGCGGCATAATCATCTCACGGGTGAAATACGGATGAAACTGACAAAATTAGCCGTTCTTTTGACCTAGTCGTCAGTACAAAGCATTCACATTGAACTGGCTCCCTCCAGGAACTCATGATGTGGGCTTATCAGGCAGCCTGAAATCACAATATGATCCACAAGAAAACTACTGAGAATTCGCAAACAGCACGTGCTAATGAATAGGTTTTGTTGACAGGTTTTCGAGAAATACACTCATTTGCAAATCAATTTGGTTTTCACGAGAGACCAAACTGAATCTCTCGTTTATGATTTTTTACAACTGAATGTGTTGTACACAGGCCGCCTCATGATTCAGTTGGAACGATATTCGAGATATCGCAGTTTATTTTCATAAAGGGAACTACTTACAAGGTTGCTGAAAACTCTTCGACAGCCCACGATCGCAGAGTTTTCAGTAACCTTGTGAACAATTTCCTTTGTTGACAGGTCTTCACTTATCACACCCACCAAAGGTCGAGCAACCAAACCTGAAAAAATATCATATTATTCAGCTGTAGCACCCACTGAAAAAAATATTTCAGGTGTAACACTCTTTCGGTGCCTAGCAGCTACTTCATCCAAAGGGAGCACGAAGGCCGAGATATTGTTAAATTGCCCAAGCTTAGAGAGGAGGAGTAGAGGTGTTGGGGCGACTTAACTACTCAGCCATTTCCATCTCAAACTACCGCATTTTGGTTGACATAAAGAGAAATGAAACATGAAGAAACCTAGTTAACGCATCAGATTGTGTTTCGAATCCCATTTCTCATAAAGGTGACGCACTTGGGCAACCAAACAGCTGGACGGATTTACGGGGACTATTCTAATCATTTCAGAGCCTATAAGTCGCACCTGGCTGAATTTCCATTTTCATTATGTGCTTGCCATATAGATGCAGATATGTCGGTAAGACATCCGCCAAACAACTCTAATGTGAACTGAATGCCAGAGGTAGTTGTTATTGTGAAAAACGGATGGTTAAAAACAAACTTTCAAGATAGTCGCCCGACAGTCGTGCATTTGTCATCCGCTCCTGAAGCAACGTTAGCCGCGGCATCGCATCACCGTATTTGGCTAAAGACCGACGCTGACCAATAATGAATGGAAAGAGACAGAGTCGAATGCACAGGGTCGCTGAAAAGGGAGGAAAATAGAACATGAATGTTAATTTGCGCATTATTGCACTACTTGGCACCAATTCAGTATCTTGTTCATAAACTGCTTTAGGTATCGATATGAGAAAATGGTAATCGTACGTGGCCTGCTCGCATCTTAAAAGTAGCCATTGATAAATACTCTCATTTGCACACACCAGGCTGTCTCATGTTTCAGCTGACACGATAATACATCGGGTCTAAGTGTAACGCTCTACTCACAAGGCTGCTGAAAACACTTCGATAGCCCATGACCAATTTCACCCTTCTTGGGGATCATCAAGCGGCCTGGTGCAGCAGTCAGTTGAAACGGACCATCATAAACGAGAGATTCAACTGGATGCAGCTGAGTCTCCTGTCAGAACTAAATCCGTGCGCAAATGAAAACAATTGTCAAATTCTGTCAAATGTGAGTCAAATTAGAACAGGAGGTTGAGGGTTGAGTGAAAAGAGGACCGGAATCAGTCATGGGTTGTCGAAGGGTTTTTAGCAACCGCATTGGTAGTGTGTTACGTTTAGAACATTAACTTGCTTAAGATGCTTTTAGGAGTCATGATTCTCATCACACGTAATTATAAGATCTGTCTTATTGCCAAGACAGTCTGTTGAGTGCTATTGGATAAATACGGGGGTAACCAACTTGAAAACTTTGCCGTTCGAACGACGTACGGGTACACACAACTCGTATAATTGATAGTTAAGTCGGTGACTCGTATGAAATAGTCGTGAATCCCCATTATTATAAACGCGAGTCATGAAAAGAAAGAAAACAAGAGTAGTTGGTTGCTCACTAGTGCGAAACAGCCCCCGAGATTATAATGTATCGCTCTGAAATGAAGTATTCACCTGAATGAACACTAGACAGCCCGTATGCCCTTTAAGTTCGATCAGCTTTTTCACATCTTAGAATTGGTGTCCCATTCTTCGTATACAGCGCTGAAATTTAACGCTAAATTTCTCTTTCGTTACAAGTCAATTAACAACAAATGAGAAAATATGCGAGTCTAACTGGCTATCGACCGGTGGTGGTTAGCACACTTCTAAGCGGGTTACACGTTTATAGCACGCAGTTATTTAAGACAGTGCATGAACACCTGATGTCACCGTTCGATTTAGGAATTTAACAAACCCAAACACTCGTCCATGATACTCTTAGGTGCACAGCTTTTATGCAGTCCTAATTTGGCACTAGGGCTGAGGCCTCAGCAGATTACACTGGTCCATGCGTGTGTAATCGGAATTAAGTAGGCGGGGGTTCGGTACAGTACGCCTTGAACTCCCATCTTTGAGAATAAAGCTGAAGCACATTGCAGTCGGGAAGTAAAAAAAACTCCGTGCAAAGGCGCACCTGCTTGACGATGTTAACCTGCCTTTCCCGTTTTCAGTTTGAATACCGCAGTCTACGGAATGATTGAAGAGCTAGCTGCTGGAGCTGTTCATCAAGCAGTAAGTCGTGAATCAGCCCCTTAAGAAAGTGGTCAGATTAAGTTACCTGGGCCATATGTACATCCATTGACTCGTGACCTTAATTAGCAGAGGGTGCGAGATAGCAGACATGCCACTACCAAAGTGGACACAACGGGATCCTTATCATCACCGACAGCATGACATCAGTGTTCAACACCGATGCTTTGCTGCCGCACAACCATGATTTATTTGAAAGCCTTGGTGTGAAGAAAAGGACAAATGTGGACGGGAAAGGGACTTAGTGCTAGCTTACCACAATCATTCCGAGGTGCCTACACCTTCAAACACTCACTCAGGCAATCTGGATAGAAACTGACAACAGGATCGCGACTGACATCGGTTAGAAGCCATAACTTGCAGCATCTCCAACCAGGCGCAGTGAGGAAAATATGACACGTCGAGAAAAATCAAGCAACTTCTGAAAAGCGCCGTAGAACATAAGTTCTCTGGTATCCGTAACCAAAACTACGCAAATAGGGCTAACGCTTACAAAGAACGGATTGTCTATTCTGACCATTGCCAACTGTATGAATGTAAGTGTGGGAGTATGTATATGGGTAGAACAGAAAGGCAATTAGCTGTAGGGACAGAGGAACAGTTGTCCATCACCTACTGGCATCAGTCACGAAACAGTTGAAGGGTTCCTGATGGGTCGGTAGCTTAGATGCCTCCTGTGTAAGGCTTAAGCTATATCCACGAGACCGTTAAACCCGGTCCGTATTCAGTGGCAAATGCAGTCTTTCTTAGTATTACCCTCGTAGAGCTGGTATCAGAATGAAATAACTGTCGTCGAGGTCTATACCTGCGCACCTGTTGTTGTCCTAACATACTGGCAGTTGTTATGCTCATCTGCCTCTCTGCACAAATTAAAGTAATCACGTTACCTCAACTTCCTCGCCTTCAACCTGGATTCCATACTTAAACATAAATGCAGGGGTTTTAGGTTCTGATATTTAACATATTTTTCGTTTGTTGCTGGTTCATGACAGTAGACGGACGGCCGACATGTTCAAAAACTAAACACTCTCAACTAACTCCATCAGAATGCCGTTTGTCATTTACACACAGCCCAATTCAGCAAGCATGTAACTATTCAGTTTTCGGGCTTACTCCAAACATAGCCTAGTTATTTTGGACTTCAGACTAAGCACAGTAAAATGGAAGCTTCCTAGGCGGAGACGCGCTTTTAGGGGAAAAGATGCCTGAGCTTGAAAGGTTAGGGATTCGCTTAAACTGTCCAACTTCTCGAATGACCACGTAGAAGAAGTATTGAAATACATGGTCTGTGAACGACGAAAAGAGTACCAAGGGAACTAACTTGTTGCAATAGCAGCCCACCAAGGTAAGTCCAGAGAGACATGGAGTGCTTCCAACAAAGCTTGGTACCAGCCAGATGGCCAGTAACTACACAGTCCGAGAGATGCCAACGATGGTTCACCCAACGTATTTAGCATAGTCTCCGCGACCGGAGGCAGTGGAATATCCGGCAGAGGGCCCAATGTATCAGGAGTGGTAGTCGAAAGCCACGACTTAGACTGCAAAAGAAGCCCAGCTTTGAAATTCGAGTGGCCTACTAGGCCAGGGTGACCAAACCACGTTTTTGTGGCTGAGAACGGACTTGTACATCGACCGAAATGGCGCAAGAACTGATAGTTACGCAAAACTTGCATGGTCATGAGTGATGGCCTCCCGAAGTGAGGAAAACAGTCTGAAGTAAAAAATAAAAACAGACAGATTGATACAGAAAGTTTCACGGCCTGGTACTCACCGACTATACACCACACTTAACAGATTCACTATAGATTTTCCTCACGCAGACAAGCTACCCGAAAAATAGTGTTCACTTTGTTGACAACCTTCCACTCCGATATTGCAGGTAATGCTCATTGATTTTCCAGGACAATACCTGTGGGCGTTTGCCCATACAGTTTGCGGAGCACGCGCAGTCTCCAAACACTTAATAGATACACTCTATAAGGCCAACTCACCGCCAAAACATTTGCCACCACGCTATGAATCTACGTAAGCAGAAGCAAGTGACCAATCAATCCGACTGAGGTGACCAGTCACGAAAAAACGTCAGATGACCAGATGACCATAATTTACGCGTTCGGCTGTCTCAATTTTGACTCAGAATTTCTACATTTTGTTGTCCTTCGTATTACTTCACTAATTCGCAGCGGCAAGCTGCTCGAGACTTTCATCTTTTTTAAAACTATCTGGTTTGCTTCAACAGTGCTCTTCTGGCCAGGATTGATTAATGCTTTTGAACAATGAGCATTTCCATAAATCAGCTGTACGCAGAGGCTCGAACCATCAAGTTGTATACTCAGTCCATGACAGACAACCACAGCCACACAGGCTCCATAGTAGTCAAAGCTTGTAAAAAGCTGGCACGGCCTATCCGATTCGGGAATTGATCTCGTTTTCAGTCAGTGCATCCGGACCTGTAAGACTGCTCAGGCAAATAAGTTTATCTAAAACATCGACTGGCTGGTCTATGAAAATGAGGTTGATGTTTGATTCCACCCAGTCTTCTAGCAGCCCTTTAAAGTGGGCACGGTTGAAGCCATACTAAACCGTGCGGCAGAACTATTTTGGTCATTTGAAATTACCCGCACCCAACGTTTGAATTAAAGACAGAAGTGTCATCTCCGTGCATAGCGTCTCAGGAAGTACCACAGGAACCCTTCAAAACCTGAGGAGTATGGAACAGGCAGATAAGTTTCTGGCAGCATACGGAAAGCGAAGTTAGGAATTGCGAGAGGTCAGCCTCACTTCAAACCACTGGACTTAATGAACTCGGGCGACAGACTAACGTGCACTCGTACACACCCACAGCAATCGGTGTACAATGCACCACCAAAGAGTAAAAATTTAGAAAGGACACCTTTGGTCACCATAAATAATCAGTTTTTGGCGACCAAAAGAATAAATTCAGCCTTCGGGACAAGAAGAATAACTAATGCTAGAGGTTTGAAAAAGTGGTGATACCCATTACAGTGATGTGATCAATATATTTCCTTTCAAGGAAAAACTCGGCTTGATTCGTACGAATTTCTCTCCCGGAAACCGACCAGCTTGTTTAGGATAATGCTAGGGTATCTTGGGTGTTAGGCCTACCAGGCCTGTCATGATGACCTTCACAAGATGTTTTTGTACCTTTTGAGGAAACAAGACACAGAAGTTTCGAGTGACGTTAATGCTACTCGCCTTTCAGACCAACCCTGGGCTTGGCTGGAGGCAGTGAACGATATGGTGGCCAATCGGCGTCCATTATGCTGGCTTCAGCTCAGGTTGTTTGACTGAATATTGGAGGCGTAAGAACCTTGCACGTTTGTGGTAGGGTAGTCATAGGTCTCACAAGTTCCGTTGTTCTTCATTCCGGTATTCAAATCAGTCGACATGACTGTACCACAGCGAAGCATCGTTATTCTCTGGTGTTGCTGGCAATTATGGCGATGACCGCTGCAGTAAATCTTGAAATCATTTGCATACGGCAGCGCCGGGCATTGTGCCAATAGCAGAGGGTAGAGGTTTAGTGAGGGTTACGAAAAGGGGAGCCACGAACAGACTCGTGGGTAACCCCGCTAAGCGTTTCAAAAGGGCCGATCAAACTGCGGATCTGTGGTTGGTGAGAAAGACAGGAAACCAGCGAGAGAGGAGGCCGGTAATTCCAGGCTTCCCAATACCAGATGAGGGTACTGGGTTAAATCCTGTAAAAGGCTTTCGAAGATCAAAAAGTTAAGATGACTAATTTTGATTCGGCCGCGCTTGTAAAGTTATGACAAAACAGATCAGGATGAGTTGGGAGCGACACAGGAGGAAAGTATGTTGAACAGGGTACAGGAAGTTGTTGAAAGGAAAATAAATTAAAGGAGTTTTGTTGGTGACTCGATGAACTTGCAGGGGACAGTAGTAAGACGTGTGGGACGTTCGGCGGACGGACAATGGATGCACCCTACCTTTTTGGTGGATTACAGCCCGTTCCCGGAAGTAGAGAGGGCATCAAACATGATGAATAAATAGAACAGGGTCTGGTGCTGAAGTGGAGGGGATCCTTCTAAGTTATATCTGGTTAGAAGTGGATGGATTTCTGGGATGCAAAAATTAACGCACGACAGTGCAGTAACTTGTGTGGTTTCAACATAACAATGGTCGTTGAGCTGTGACACCGATTCGCCACATAGCTACCGTACCAAGTGGCCCAAATGGTTAGAATGCGAATTTACTGACCGAAAAGTCCGTGGTTCGAACCCGACCTCTGCCTCTCGGGGCAAACTGACAGTATCCCAGCCCTCGTGCAACCTCCCAGTGGCATGGCAGTTAGGCACCGAGAGGGTG